GTTGTGACTTTGTGAACTGTTTAGTGGGTTCACTCAGAGATTTGTTGTCTATAAGGCTGTTTTATTTCGCTTCACTAATTACCAGGTCAGAGCAGTATCAGAGTCCTGGATCACTGAATTTAACAGAAGATATTCAGACAACCTGGACAAGCAAGTGTTCAGGGAGCAGAACTGCAGAGCAAGGACATAAAGACCCTTCTTGCTACAAACAGGCTGTTGGTTCACGTTTGCTGTTCAGCAGTTGTAGGTGAATGTTAAGAAATTGCAGGTCAGGGGATGTGTTATGTCCTTTGTGCAGAAGAACAGTGCTGTCAGGTGGTGCTCTAGGGGATTTTACACAAACTGGTCTTGCTTTTTACCTATGTAAACAAGCTCTCTTTCGAAATTATTGGTCAGATGAATGCAGGAAATGCTCAGTGGAACATTTATTTATATTGTCTTTAAATTAACACACTATTATTCCTCGTCCAGCTCTCCAAGGTATATCAGGAAATATTTTGTATCTTTTGCTGGTATTACCATATCTTCATAATTAAGAGTCTTAAAGACATGCATTTATTGTTCTCAAAACAACAGATTTTGAATTTTCCTGGCAAGATGGGATGTTCCATCTTGTGTGCTTGTGTGAGAGGAAAGACTTTTGCTCATCTGCAAGCTGTGGTTGGGAAGTATTATCAGGATGGCCTGAAAATTAAAATTGCATTGCATCTTATCCCTCCACGATACTTTACTCTTCCCACTCTTGAGAAGTGGAAGTCCCTGTGTAGGCACTCCTGGCATAATTGCGTTCCACTCGAGCCCATGTCAGCTGAACGGCTTCCATCTCCTCTGTGCCTGTTGTGCTGGGGTGATTCCCATCCTGGGATGTGTGAGCAGCAGCCTTTCTCTGCCTGGCTGGGCTCTCAGCACTGGAGGGTTTGGCCATCATGTGCCAAAGGCACCGCTGAGACTCGGCTTCCACAGTCCACCAGAGCCATCCACACGTGCTGGAGAATGACTTTGTGTGTCTTGAGGTCTGAGGATTTGAGAAGGGACAGAGTGTCTTCCAGGTGTAGCTAGTACATCCCGGAGAATTTTGCATTTCAAGCATTACATTTCTTCTTAGAAAAGAAATTTCAACCTAGGAAAGTGAACATCTCTCTTAAAAATTCCCCACATTGTACAAAGCTCAGGAGGCTACAGAGAGGGAAGGAGATTCTCCACTCCTCACAGATTACCAGGAGCTTAGGTTGATCAGTGACTCTGCCTGTATTATGTACTAAAAGCCATGGTATTCGTACTAAAAGCTGCTCTGTGTGTGCTCACAGTGCTGGTGCTGAGGACACAGCCAGCACCAGAGGGCCTCCGGGCTTAGTGGCACCGAGGGCACGGCACTGGTGACTCGTGCATGGCTTTGGGAAGAAACAAAGGGGATTTCAGGAGATCTGTATTCAGGATTGCTTAGAGACGTCTACTGAGAGCTGCAGACTCGTCCCACATCATAAGCTGAGTTTCTGAGCTTCCCCTGAGCACGTGTGTGTCGGTGGAAGAGCAGGGGTAGGAGGGATGTGAGGAGTCCAATTTGGGTTTGTCGTTTCCGTGCAAGTTCTGAGCAGCGTAAGAACAGCCGCAGCCACATCATCCTCCCAGCCTGTGCTCACTGCCAGTCTGCAGAGGGGTTTTTCAAAGGCACCATCACGGGGTGCCACCTGCCCTTTGAGCTGTGGAAAATCATCTCCTGATCCCAGCCTCCTTGCAGCGAGAAGGCACCAGAGCACCAGCACAGCTCAGGGATCAGAGTTGGTCCCTGGAACTGACCCTAGGCCAGAGGAGCACAGGGCATTTGGCACGGACAAGCTCCCCTGAAGGCAGGAGATGTACCACAGAGCTGAAATTACTCATCTCTTTTTTCGTCTTTATAACTTGCTTTTTGTTTTGTCCTTGTACAAAACAAGGGTGTTACTCTGAAGGTTTTTCATTCGGTTTTTAAGATTTTCTGGCTTCACACCTTGCTGCCAGTGCTATACCCCGTGCCACCAGACCTGACTCAGATGGCAGCTCAGTGTTGGGTCCTTGCTGCCAGGACATAGAACCATATTCCACAGGGACAGAAGCTTTTTATCCAGAGGTGGTGCAAAGGAAACGGAGGGTAACTCTAGGCAGCTCTCAGACGGACAGCCACGTGTGTGCTCCATTTTTGCTTGCTAGCAGTGCCCAGCTCTGTCCATTTTATTTTTATTTCTTGCAAAGGGAAGGATTCTGTGCCTTCTGTACACGACACCACTAACTATTTGCTTCCTCCTTGCCTCTCATCTAGTGTAGGCTACACCTCACAAGTGAGGCAGAACAGACTTGAAATCTTGTTTGTCAATGAAAGGCGAGAGCAGCTCCTTAGCAGTGTGAAGGATGTTGTTCATTGTCTTCTGCCCATTCCATCCCAGCCAGCCTTCCCACGGTGGCTGCCACTGCCATGAAGGCTGTTCCAGCAGGGATCCCCGCTAGGAAGTGACCAAGTTTGCACACCCCTTCTGCTGCTGGCAGACACTGTCATCTTGTACATATTGAGCCTGATCACTCTGGCAGGTTATGAAAGACTAAATGGTGCAAACACATGTGGCAGATGCCGTTCTCGTGATGGCAGAGGAGCGCTGAGCCCCTGTTGGGAGCGTGCCAGCTCCGTCTCGTACACTGAAGAGCTTTATACTTTGAAGCCTTCCACGGCTTGCCCTGAGGGACTGCCGCTGAAGTGGTAATAAAATTCAGAATGAGCCTCAGAAAGTCAACTTGTTGGTTTCAAATGGGGTTTTTCATTATTAAGCTTCCCTTTAGCAGCCATATGTAGAGCTGCTCTGTCAAAAATACCATGTTCCCCCGGAGAAAGGTGATTTGAACTGAAAAGATAAATGGAAGCACAGAGCCGGCAAAGAAAGTGAATTGCTTGTGTGAGCTGAATCTCCAAATGGCCCTCGGTGTTCTTCAGGTGAAGGGAAGTGAAGGAAGTCTGGGAGTAAATGTTGGTTACTAGGAGCTCCTTCTGGCAGTCTGTCTAGAAAATATGGGCAAGGCATTCTCTGCTCCCCAAACCAGGCATTTTATTGGCATTAAAGATTCCAAACTGGGTGGCACATTTCAGGTTTTGAGCTCCAAATCTGCGGATATTGACAGGAACAGTAAAGCTGTGGTTATAGATGGAGCTGGTGACAATAACAGGAATACGTAGTGCCCCTGAAACATTTATAAAGAGCATTAAGTGCAACACCTTGGTGAGGCAGGTGAGCCCCTTAACTGAGGTAAGGCAGTTGGGAAGGCTGCAGCTCAGTTGAGAGAGGAAATCATCTGCTCAGGGTTGTAGTCAAAATTAAGATGCCAGCTTGAAGACAAAACATTTGGCCGGTGGAACACAGCTTTTACCACAGCATATCAGGAAAGACAGAGTCCTTAATTACCTTAATGTATTCTTGTTTAACATCTCCCTTTCTCTCTCTTTGCTGTTTATTATCAACAGTGAGTTAAAGGTTTGTGTTGGGTGGGGTTTTTCTTCTGAAATTGAAGGGGTTTAAAATATTATGGGATACTGTGTTTTTCTCCAGCTCTCTGCACACCGTTGGGGTGTGCAGTTACTGAAACAAGGATCCTTAACGCTGAGCTCATCCTTTCTAACCAGCATATCTGAATGAGCAGGCAAGCGTCAGTCCCAGTAACTCCTGGGCTGGGCACTTGCTAAAGCAAGGATGTGGTGCTTGGAATGGTGTCCATAAATATTTATACTGTGAAAAGGTGTGTGGGAGAGAGAGCCCTGCTGTGCTGGAGACAGCCCCAGCCAGCCTGGCATGCAGAGGGGAATGGGGTGCCGAGGCAGAGAGGGGCCAAGCACGTGGACATCCAGCCGAGCTCTGCCGGGTGCGCAGAGCATTTCAGTGGGTGTGAACGGAGAACTGAGGTGTCTTTCAGAGCAGGAGGGGGAAATCCTGCCCTTGGACATGGAGGAAGTAGAATCTGCAGAGAGGAAACTGCACATTAGTTCTCTGTGGGCAGATATCTCAGGATGATTAAATCTGTGGAGCGTGTTTAAGTTGCCTTATGCAGGTGCTCACTTAAAGGCCCCACAGCTGAAGCAGGTGAGAAAGTTCCTGTGCTCCCGAGGGCAGTGCCAGCGTCCTGCTGCCGTTCCCAAGGCGTGAGTGTTGGTGGCAAGCACACAAATGCCCCCCTCTCCCAAGCTCCCGGGTGAGCCTGCTGACATCTGCTCGGTCATTACGAGGATGAGCGGGGGCACCTCCTGACCGCAGCGAGCATTAACAAGAATTACACTCCGAGCATCTCACCCGAGCTGGAAAAATTATCTTTCATTATAAAGAGAAGTAAATTACAGCTTTGTAATCTGGCTGCCCTCGGTTACATTTACAGCCAGGAGGTTCTACAGGGAGCAGTGCCCTCTGCATCTTTTTCTTCCTGTTTCATGGAAGAATGCTGCTGTGAATGCTGTCACTGAAAGAAAAAGTTACAAGAACCTCCTCCTCAAATCGGTTCTATTTAGCTTCGTCACACTAGTGCAAAGAACATATTGCAGCGCTGTGGTGGCCTGTTTTTCTGGCTTTTATTAATCCAGAAACCTTAATGATGAACAACATTTGTGTCATTGTCTACACAAATTTAATTTGTTTATGCAGCAGTTCAGTTAATCCTGCAATCTGCTTTTCTCAAATGAGGACAGATAATGGAGACACCGTTCTTTACAGGTCTTCAGGCTTTTAAATTCTGATAAAATCAGGATTCTTCACTGGGTCTTGCCACAGCTCTGAATTAAGCCACTTTAAATGTAATTACTGAAGCTGGCTGTACATCAGGAACATCCATTAAAAGAATTGATTGACCATGCTGTTACAAGGAGGCATTTTATGAACAAACGATCACGATGGGTCCAGAACTGTAATTTATGAAGGCAAAAAAGCAGGTAAATACTTTATTAGTGGTTAATGAGAGGCTCACAAGATAACTAAATTTCTTCTTTTTTTTCCCAGCTACTTCAGGGAACCTTGGTCCATGGCCATCTATCACGATCGGTTTATTGATCTGCAGAAGGAACTGCGCCAAACCCTGATGTCAGAACAGGTAAGAAGAACGACTGGCGAGTGCATTTTATTATTTAGGTAATTTGTTAGTGTTGTTCACTTGGGTTTCTTCTCCCATCTTTATCCTGAAGCTTTAGGTTTCTGTTTACCTCTCTCTTCGGGGAAGCCTGAGCAGCACTGTGTACCTCACAGAGGGGGGGCCACCACGTACAGCACAGTGTTGAGTTTTCTTGTTTGGGCATATTCTCAAATCTGCCAGTAGAACTTGAACTCACTCCATTGTCCTTCACTGCATTTTTGCACTGTAGCTGCAATTTAGTACAAGTACCCAGTGGAATCTGGAGCCTGGCTTGTCCATGTATCCCCTTGGGTTCAGGAGTGTTCCCTAATAGGAGCACGCTATGGGCCATCCTACACCTGTCTCAGCTGAGCCTGTGGGTAGATTTTTCAACACCTACCCACAGGGCATGGCTTTTGTAATCCAAAGGGTGAAAGCAACTGGCTTTTTCAGTGATAAGTGGATTTCCTGAATAAGGGTGAAATTAAAACGTTTGCTAATGCTGTGTATAGCTTTGGCCCTAGCACCACAGACAGAGGCATAAAGGCTCAGCAGCCTGGAACTGCCTGCCCAAAATCCAAAGTCACTGTGCTCCATGGGGAGAACTAATAACAGCAGGTGTCCAGCAGCCCCCAAAGCTGCCTCCCTCACACCCTGAGCAACTTCTGGCTGATCCCAAACTGAGTTTGTGGTATGATCTCGGTTCCAATACCCACTACCTGGGATCAGTTAACCCTGCCCCTGCTCACACTGCTGCTGCCTTTGTTTAACCCCATGTGGTTCCAGATGGTGGCACTGGGTTTTAAACATGTGCTCATGGAGTTTTTGACTGCGTGGAAAACAAACAGAATTGCGTGTAGATGGAGGCAGGGTGGCAGGAGGAAGGGAGAGAGGTTACGGAGCCCGTGGGCCACCCATCTCCAGGGCCCTACGCTGCCACATCCTGGCTGCAGCCACGGGTGCTCAGCCCTACCTCCTCCCCGAAGGGCTCAGAACAATTTGCCTCCTGTTGTCCTGACTCAGAAAGGGCCTTGGTGCACTTTAATTTGGGGTCTCTTGGAAGACAAAGGAGCTCACAAAATTAAGTTCTGCGCAGAATGAGTAGCCTGATTTGAAGTGTTTTTCTTGCCATCATTCAAACATATTTCTCATGCTGTAAGTTGGAACAACCCGAGTGAGAGGGGAATTTGTGCCCTAGAAATGAAGGACTCACTTGCCTTACCCTGTCTTTGTGGCAGCAGTCCTGACTCAGACAGCCAGTCTCCCTGCACGGGCTGGGAGCAGCTCTGTGTGAGTCAGGATTGTTCCTATGGACACAGGTGATGGTATCTGCATTTGAATGAAAATTTGGCATTTTGGACTTTTATTTTTTTTTCACGGTGATTTTAACTATATTTACTAAAAATTATTTCACCTGTATTTGCAAAATGTCACCTTTTATGTTTTCATTGGGTGTTACTTCTGTGCACGTTGCCAGATCCAGAGTAGGTACCATGTGCTCATGCAGTGCCTCTTAAATGCCTCAGGACTGGCTGTATTTCTATTTGAATTAAGAGACCCTACTATCTTTGCCTCTTGTTGCTCATATTCTAGCTCATTTCAGCATGCAGAAAAATTACTAACGAAGTGTAAAAATGAAGGGAAGAGATGCTTAAGAGCTGTGGGTGTAAGTGCACAGAAGTCAGATATTTCCGGTTAGATTCCAGAGAAAGTGGGAATCGGTGTCCTGCAAACATGGGTAGTATTTACAGAAATGTTTGCTAATGGAAGCACTGACCGCATAGAGAAGCCGGTTATGTTCTGGGGCCGGGGCCCGCGCGTTTAGCCCGTGTTGGAATTGTCACCCGAGGCTGCCGTGGCTCCGGCAGGGCCGCTGGCGCGGGCCGTGTTTACCCCTCGGGGATCGCAGCCTTGTGTTTGCTCCGGCGGTGCAAACATGCAGATGGCAGGGCTGGGGCTGCACCTCCATCAGCTGCTGGATGCTGCCGCACGCCGGGGGCACACGAGCCGTGCCAGACCTTCCGGAACAGCGCTTGGCGTCCGGCAGGATAATGGATGGCCTGCTGCTCCGGCTGCAGCTGGGCCGCGCCGGGGCTCGCTGAAAAGCCACGGTAAATACAGGCCACGGAGCGGGGGCATTCCTCTGGCGAAACCCCTCTGGCAGGCCGTGTCGGGACAGCCGGGGGCTCCGCGCGGGCTCGTTCCACACAGCCCTCGCACCCGCGGCAGGTCGTGAGGGAGGGAGAGGCGAACAAGCAGTGGAGCGCCACCGGCCGCAGTGTGCCACCGGTGTGAGCCCTCTCCGTGCCCCGGTGCCCCCGTGTCCCGGCCCCGACGTGTTTCCAGAGCCCGCTGCCCCGCTCCGTGCCCTGTCTGACCGCTCTGTCCCGCAGGTGGCCGGCCAGAGCCCCGAGCACAAACCCGGCCCAAAGCCGGCATTCCGGGAGCCCGTCCTGCGCTACCTGCGCCAGCACCGCGCCCAGCTGCCCATGTACGCCCCGACCGACCTCTACAGACTGCCGGCTGCAGGTAAGAGACACGGCGGGGCAGCCTCGGGCCTCGGGCCGCAGCCGGGCCTGCGGGTCCCGGTGTGGAACCGTGCGGTGAGGAGGGGTCTCGGTGTGGAACCCCGCGGTGAGGAGGGGTCTCGGTGTGGAACCGTGCAGTGAGGAGGGGTCTCGGTGTGGAACTCTGGCGTGAGGAGGGGTCTCGGTGTGGAGCCCCGCAGTGAGGAGGGGTCTCGGTGTGGAACCGTGCAGTGAGGAGGGGTCTCGGTGTGGAACCCCGCAGTGAGGAGGGGTCTCGGTGTGGAGCCCCGCGGTGAGGAGGGGTCTCGGTGTGGAGCCGTGCAGTGAGGAGGGGTCTCGGTGTGGAGCCCCGGCGTGAGGAGGGGTCTCGGTGTGGAGCCCCGCGGTGAGGAGGGGTCTCGGTGTGGAACTCTGGCGTGAGGAGGGGTCTCGGTGTGGAGCCCCGCGGTGAGGAGGGGTCTCGGTGTGGAGCCCCGCGGTGAGGAGGGGTCTCGGTGTGGAGCCCCGCGGTGAGGAGGGGTCTCGGTGCACAGCCCCGGCGGGGGGGCGGCGGCGCGTGCCCGCGGGCCCGCAGCTGTATGCTAATGTCCCGCGGCCCCGCCCCGCCGCACGCCTGTCCCAGCGGGCGGGCGGGGCGGCCCCTCGACCCCCCTCCGCCGCTCGGCCCGGCCCGGCGGGGGGGTGTCCGGGGGAGCGGCGGCCCCCGGCGCCCCCCGCTCGCCGCCCTTTGTGCCGAGGGTCGCGCAGCTTTATGCTAATGGCGCGCACAAAGGCGCGCGCGGGGGGGCCCCGCTCGCTCGCGTGCCGCCCGCGTGCCCCGCGCCCCCCACAAAGGGCCCGGGGGGGCGGGAGGCGCTGCCCGCGCGCGCCCCGCTCCCGCCACCTGCGGGCGGCCCCGCGAGCCCCCGCGCGCCGCCGCGGACAAAGGGCTGCGGCCCGGGGCCGGCCCCGC